CCTAAACACATCCACTAAAAATGAGAGTGAAACACTGAGTGAGCCACCGCAAAAAGTCCTAAACACTCAACCCGTGAGAAGAGAGACTCTCTTTGTGAGGCCGAGAGAGATAAAACAGGCTGTGCTCGAGAGACAACCTTTCATTCTTCTTATGTTCAAATCCGCTTTGGCTAGTACGTCTAACTCCGAGCCGGAACTTCCAAGCAGGATTTCTTGGGTTTTGCAGGAATATGCGGACGTATTTCCCAAAGACAATCCAGGCGGACTACCACCGATCCGAGGTATTGAACACCAGATTGACCTCGTCCCTGGAGCGTCCTTACCTAACCGACCTGCGTACCGCACCAACCCGACCAAGACCAAGGAACTCCAACGTCAGGTCGACGAACTGATGGCCAAGGGCTACATCCGCGAGAGTCTAAGTCCTTGTGCCGTGCCCGTGCTTTTAGTGCCAAAGAAGGATGGAAGCTGGCGAATGTGTGTTGATTGCCGAGCTATCAACAACATCACGGTAAAGTATCGCCACCCGATCCCGCGTCTAGATGACATGCTAGATGAACTATATGGGTCTAGTGTGTTCACAAAGATAGATTTAAAAAGTGGTTACCATCAGATCCGAATGAAGGAAGGAGATGAGTGGAAGACCGCATTTAAAACCAAACATGGTTTGTATGAATGGCTGGTCATGCCGTTTGGCCTAACAAACACACCTAGTACCTTTATGCGGTTAATGAATCATGTGCTTAGGTCGTTTATAGGCGTCTTTATAGTGGTCTACTTCGATGACATTCTGATATACAGTAAGAGTCTAGAGGAGCATGTGAATCATTTGAAACAAGTGTTAGAAGTCCTTAGGAAAGAACGTTTATTTGGAAACTTTAAGAAATGTTCTTTTTGTACGGATAACGTGGTGTTTCTAGGCTTTGTTGTCAGTTCACAGGGAATACAGGTGGACGAGGAGAAGATTAAAGCCATCCGAGACTGGCCGAGCCCCAAGACGGTTGGAGAGGTTCGCAGCTTTCACGGTCTGGTCGGGTTCTATCGACGGTTCGTCCGAGACTTCAGCACGATCGCAGCCCCTCTCACCGAGGTCATCAAGAAGGACGTAGGATTCAAGTGGGAACGAGCTCAGGAGGAAGCGTTCAATACCCTCAAGCACCGGCTTACACACGCACCCTTACTCTCCCTGCCCGATTTTCTCAAGACCTTCGAGATCGAGTGTGATGCATCCGGAGTGGGAATTGGAGCCGTGTTCATGCAGGAGAAGCGACCTATCGCTTACTTTAGCGAGAAACTTGGAGGAGCAACGCTTAACTACCCGACCTACGACAAGGAGCTTTATGCTTTGGTCCGAGCTCTCCAGACTTGGCAACACTACTTGTGGCCCAAGGAGTTCTTCATCCATACCGATCACCAGTCCTTAAAGCATCTCAAAGGACAACAGAAGCTGAACAAGCGACATGCGAGATGGGTCGAGTTCATCGAGACCTTCCTTTATGTAATTCAGTACAAGCAAGGAAAGGAGAATTTTGTGGCTGACGCGCTATCCCGACGATATGCCATGATCTCGACGCTTGATGCCAATATACTTGGGTTTGAGATAATCAAAGAAGCCTACGCAACCGACCTGGACTTCCAAGAAGTTTACCGCGCCAGTTCTAAGTTTGCCTATGGCAAATACTACCAGAGTGATGGTTACTTGTTTTATGAGCATAAACTGTGTATACCTAACACTTCTATGCGTGATTTGATTGTCAGGGAAGCACACGAAGGAGGCTTAATGGGACATTTTAGAGTTCTTAAGACACTAAGTGTGGTCCAAGACCATTTTTACTGGCCGCACCTTAGGAAAGATGTGGAGCGAATCTGCCAAAGGTGCACAGTTTGAAAACTAGCTAAGGGCCGCAGCCAGGGCGCAGGAATGTACATTCCATTACCCATTCCCACCGAACCGTGGACAGACATCTCCATGGACTTTGTCCTCGGGTTACCTAGGACCCGCCGAGGTAAGGACTCTATCTTTGTCATAGTAGATAGGTTCTCTAAGATGGCACACTTTGTTCCATGCCACAAAACCGATGATGCTTCCAACATAGCCGATCTGTTCTTTAGGGAAGTTGTTCGATTACATGGAGTTCCTAGAACCATAGTGTCAGATCGGGATACAAAGTTTCTTAGTTACTTTTGGAAAATATTGTGGGCTAAGTTAGGGACTAAACTATGTTTTTCCACAACTTGTCACCCTCAAACCGACGGTCAAACCGAAGTGGTCAATAGGACCTTGTCAGCTCTTTTGAGATCGGTCATTAAAAAGAACCTTAGGACTTGGGAGGAATGTTTACCTCATGTTGAGTTCGCTTATAACCGAGCTGTTCATTCTACAACTTTGTTTTCACCATTTCAGTTAGTTTACGGTTTTAATCCTCTTACACCTTTGGATCTAACCCCTTTACCAATGACTGAGCGTGAGAACATGGATGGGAAAAAGAAAGCCGATCTGGTGAAGAAGATGCATGAAAAGGCAAGGCGAAACATCGAAAGAAAGACGGAGCAATTCTAGAAGTACGCCAACAAAGGAAAAACCAAAAAGATGTATGAGCCCGGAGACCAAGTGTGGATCTACCTAAGGAAGGATAGGTTTCCGGAAGAGAGAAATTCCAAGTTGAAGCCAAGAGTGGACGGACCATTCACTATCCTAGAGCGGATCAACGACAATTCTTACAAGATTGACCTCCAAGGTAAGTACTCAGTTAGCTCAAGTTTTAATATTGCTGATATCATTCCTTTTCACGCAGATGAAGCCGACTTGAGGACAAGTCCTTTTCAAGAGGGGGGGGGGGATGATAGAATCATGGAACCGATGGGAGCTAAGGACAAGGAACAGATCGAGGTTCAGCCCGGAACACAAGACCAAGTGGCCGAGCTGAGCGAAGTCGAGGTTCAGGATGAGGTAGAAGACCGAGGAGCCGACCAGAACGACGTCCTGGCCATGCCAACTGGACCGATGACTATGTCGCGTACCAAGAAGCTCGCGGGAGCAATCCAACAAGTTCTTACCGAGCTAAGGAACCAAGGCCGAGCTGACGACCTAACACCCGTTCACAAAGTCATGACCGTGCTCATGTATTCTGGTCCGAACTGACCTGGTTGGGGTGTTGTGTTAACACTCTTTTTCCTTACATTCGATTTTGTCCCACTGGGTTTTCCGAATGGGGTTTTAATGAGGTTAATGCACGTCCATCTCACGACCATGGTTCGATTCGCGGCCAAAGTATAACAGTCAAGGAGTTCAAAGGTCTAGCGAGAGGACGCGAAGGGTCATCCGGAAATCCAATCGTTATTCCACGTATCTTTAGATTCATTTAGTTTCATTTAATGTCTTTAATGTCTTTTAATTTCTGTAAAGACCTATGGTCTTCCTTTAGCCTCTATATAAAGGCCTCGATGTATTTAGAACCATATCACTTATCTTATATAAATTTTCTCTTTTGAGTTTTCTCTCTTGTTCTTCAAGAACTTTGTCGATATTTTGGTGGTTAGCCATTGATCGATCTTCGGTTTATCAAGTAGTTTCATCCTGCTTGACGCAGCTTTCGAATCCAAAGTGTGAAAGAGAGTTGTAATCGTATTTGGGGCTTAGGGAATTTCGGGACTTGTCTCACACCCTAACATCTGGTATCGCAACCCCCTTGATCGTTTGGTCCATCCCCTCGTTTCCAACCTCTTCCTTGAATTTGGGCCTAAGGACTTTCGAGCTCCCGCTCACGCCTTAGCATCTCTTTCACCGAACCGGACTGGATCCAAGGATCTATCAACCTCCACCGAGCCAAGTGTGTGACAATTCTAGGACGGTCGTCTATCCTTGTCTATTACATATATATTTTTTTCTGAATGCAACCATCATAAACCTGCATAAATATAAAGATATCTACAAACTAAATTTGATTTGAAGTTTTAGTTGATATATTATTGGAATATTTTCTAAATGTTGTATATGAAACTATTAAATACTATAAATATATATAAAATTTTGAAATACAAAATCTAATGAAAAAATTGATATTGTAGAGTTTTCTTTTAAATATGTCAATAAATACAATACAAAATTCCGCGCGAAGCGCGGATCAGCCCCTAGTCTATTATATAATGGGAGAGTTTTCTCTCCATTTAGGGTGTCCACATTAGCATAAGAAGAAAATTACAATTAATGATTCAATTAATTCATACACTTTAAAATAATATTATTTTCATTTAAAAATAAAATAAAAACACTAATACTAAAGTTAATGACTTCATTAATTCACACATTGTTTATAATCATTATTTTTTATCAAAAAGAAGCAGAGAAAAATCTGGAAAAAATAATAAGAAGAAGTAGTTAAAGAAAAAGATGATGATGAAAATAGAACTCAAGACGATGAAAAAGAATAAGAAAAAAAAGGAAGAAGAAAAAATCAAAATATAAAGAAAAGCATGTAGATAAAGATGAAATAGAAGATGAAGAATACATACACGAGATAAGTAAAATAAGAAAAAAAAAATTAGAAAAAAAAGATGAAGAAAAACAAAAAAAAGAAAAGAAATAGAAGTTGAAGAAGATGAAGATGAAGAAAAAAGGATAAAGAAGAAGAGGAAGAAGAACTCAAGCTGATGAAGAGGAATTTAACAAAATACGAAGACAAAAATGTTAAAGATGAGAAAGAAGACCGAAAATGAAAAATAATATACTATTTTAATATGATGATAAAGAAAAAGTCAAATAAAATCAAAAAAATAAGAAAAAGAATATGATGAATTAGCTGTTTTAAAAAAAATATGATGAAAGTCTATACCCACAAAATTTAATATTAACATATATTTAAAATATGTATTTAATACATGTATATTTAGTATATTTAGTACAAATAAATAAAATAAAAGAAATTTTAGTATAAAGATGCAGAAAAAAACAAAAAATTAAAATAACAAATTATGAGAATATGATAATATAAAGATGGAGAGAGAAAAATTTGTTGTTATATAGAAACACTATTAAAAATAACTAATAGAATACAGACATTGTTAACACAATGCAAACCATAAAAAATATTTCTTAAACAAAGAAAAGAAATTTATCAAACAAACTCTTTTTAAGAAATAGCATATAAAAATATGAACATACGTTCAAATCCGCGCGAACTCAACCCTAGTAGATACAAATGGTACACATAGATATTGTCACCAAGTGTGTTTGCATGTTAACAATAATTGATCAGTTTAAAACCAGACTATCTATGTTTCATAAAGTATTAATATATATCTGACTTTAAAATTTTTGAACCTAAATTGATTAAAAAACGACTCCTTAGTCTTTCTTTTTATTTATTTTTTTGGTCGGGAACGATTCCTTGGTCTTTAAGTTCTCATTTCTTGGATCAAAACCGGCAATCCACCATTAACCGTCGCTGTTAGCCCCGGCATAAACCGGAGTGTCTCGGTGAATCCAAGACCTGCCGCTCGTATTTTGAACCTCCTAATGATCGCCACGGCTATAGATTTCATCTCCATGATGGCCATTTCTTTCCCCACACAAACCCTAGCTCCAGCCTGGAAAACCGGATACTTAACCGGATTTTCGGGTCGGAATTTACCTTCATTATTCAACCACCTCTCCGGTTTAAACTCTTGGTAATCAGGACCCCATATCCGACCCATCCGACCCATTGCGTAAGGATGATACGTGACTCTAGTCCCTCTTTTCACAAATGTACCGTCGGATAAAACGTCATCGTTTAAAGCGAATTTGGAATCAAATTGAACCGGCGGATACAATCTCATGCTTTCGTACAACGCCGCATGCAAATAGTCCATATCTCTCATTTCATCGCAAGAGGCAGTGACTGATTCAAAACCGGGACCCATGACCCGGTCCAATTCTTCTCGGATCCGGTTCTCTACTTTCGGATGATGTATCAATAACCAGAAAAATCCGGTTGAACCGGCGGCCACCGTGTCCCGACCAGCCAGTAGAAAGCTTACTACGATGTCTCTGAGATACTCATCGTCCTCCTCCGCCACAACCGCCATGAATCTCGAGATTAAATCGTTGTTTTTCTCCGTCAGACCGGTTAACCTCCGGTGCTTAATCAAATCACCAGCTAACCGGTTTATCACATCGATTGATTCCTTAAGCTGTTTCTCAGAACCGATTCTCAAAACCCTCTTGATTTTCCACAGCAGAGGAGACGGAGCCAACGCGCGTTTCGCGGAAAGCGTCGAAGCCGTGTCGAACGCAACGGCGAATTCCGACGTCGGAAAAGGAAGCCGGAGACAATCCGGGTCAAACCCGAAACTCAATTTACTAATCGTATCGAACGAGAACCTCCTGAAAACATCTTGAAGATCCAAAACCGAACCCGGTTCTGACGAGAACGAAGTCAGAACCGGAATTAACCGCGTTTCGATCTCGGTTCTCACGATGGCGTGAGCGAAAACCCTGACGGAGACGCTCCCGAGCTCCAAACTCGCGAGTTTTCTCTGGAAACGCCACGTGTCACCGTCGGAGTTGAAAATCCCACGGCCCAAGAGATCGCCGAGGATGACGGAGAACTGTTTACCTTTCGGGTAATTGTGGAACCGCGTTTTGAGGATGTGTTCGACGTTAGATGGATTCGCGGTGATGACGCTGTTGAGGACGTGGACTTTGATCGTCGACGTCGGAGAACGCCGGAGAAGATGAGCGTACCAATCGCTGAGATTGACGAAATCTTTTCTCCAGCTTGAAGTGAGGTAAGCATGGCAGATCTCGCAGTTGCAGTAACGTAGCTTTTGATTGAAGATTGTGTGAAAGAGTGAGAATATGAAGAAGAAGGAGATGGAGACGATGATGAAGGATATGATTAGTATCATTGTTGAAGAGAGAGAGAGAGAAGAAGAAGCAGGAAGGTGAGAGGAAAGAGAAGAGTGAGGTACGAGAAAAGAAAAAAAACTTAGAGTCAATAAATAGAGATTCTTTCTCTCATTAGTTGTGGACAGACATGTGTTTGCGAGTTTATTTTATTCCTACCGTTACTGATAATACTATTTTTGATTTTAAAAAATTGTGTTAATGGATTTTTGTTTGTTTACCAAAAAGTTAATGGATTTTTTATGGTTATAAGTTATAACCATTTAGTTCTGTAATCTTATATTATTAATTAATAAAAACATTTAAAAAATACTTTTGTCTCATGGATTTTTGTTTTTTTACTAAAAAGTTAATGGATTTTCTATGGTTATAAGTTATATCCATTTAATTCTGTAATCTTATATTATTAATTAATAAAAATATTTAAAAAATTCTTTTGTCTTATGTATTATTTATTATGTTGAGGTGTCAATTTCAGAAAGTGTTTTAGAATTTTTTTTAAAGTAGACTGACTAGACTCAATTTAATAGATACATTACATATCATTAACATTAATTTAATTAAAAATAAGTTTATATCAATTATATATTTAATATTCAAATATTTAATATGTAAAGAGATATTCTCTGATTTTCATATTTATAAAAATTTAATTTATAATATTACTTATGTTACTAAATATTATATTTTATATTTTATATTTATTTGATCTTAATTTTGTTAAAAATAATAATCATATTATCTATTTAGTAATAAATCTAAATATTTTAATATATATTATAATTAATTTTTTTTATCAAAAATAAAGTATTTTAGTCTGATGTTTGACCGCTTAGATAGAATGTATTAATCTAATTTAGTATATTTAATATGTAATTTTATTCATATAAAACATATTATTAAAATTAATTATAAAACTTATTTAGTAATTATACAATTATATTATAAAATAAATATAATTTTAATTATTATTTACAATTGTATAATCAGCACATCTATTTGTAATTAGAAATATCAGCTAATATTTTTATAATTATATTTATATATATTATATTTCTATATTTAAATAAAAAAATATAATTAATATTTATTCCGTATATGATACAGCTAATCATCTAGTTTGTTTTATTATGATTTGAATCATTTTTAAATATATAAAGAGTATAATTCATTGTGATGGTTTAGTTTCTTTCTTGGAGGACAAGAAAGCGAATAACCTAAAAATAAGGAAATTACAATTTTGGTATAAAGAAAATAATTTTGGAATTTTACTGCTTACCATATGCAATGCATGATGGATATTATTTGACTATGTACTGATGTTTGAAATTCGTCAATTTTTTTTCAACCAAAATTTGATAAGGTAGTATTCCTTGTTTAGGTCGACATGAAATTCTTTACTTATGTCGACAAAAAGATTCTTTAATTTTTGTCGACAAAAAGATTCTTTACTATATTTGTTGTTGTAAAAATGAAATAAGTCATTGGGAATTATGAGTGTCTATGTACATACTACATCATGACGTTTTTGTTTGGGTCATTTAGATATATATGATCATATTGTGAAACTTGACTTTTAACTTTTGTATTGGTAGCAAAAACCCCAAAATACCAGGTTATGTAGGATAATAATATATCGCAAAATAATAATAATAATAATAATAATAATAATAATAATAATAATAATAATAAGAATAATAATAATATATCACGCTTTTGAAGAAGAAGAAAAAAAATTAGTTATTTAGAAAAACAGCACTCATTTTTGCCATTCATAGAACCAGAAAACAGAGACCAGTTTGGACCAACATTTTGTCAAACCACCTACCAAGTACGCAAACAAAGAGGCGATTAATGATTGAAATCTCAAACACTCGTTTCATCTAAAAATCTGAGATTATGAATGGCTTCCAAATAGCATTTTGGATTAAAATCGTCCATCTCTCCCCACACTTTTGGCTTGGGGTGGGCAATCCAATTTTGTTTGGTTTCAGTTTGTTTTGTTTTATGAATTTTTTTCTGTAATTAAATTTATTTTTCTCAATGATTAACTTGCAGCAGTTATTTTATGGAGTAAGTATTTACTCTATATGTATAGTCCATTTTCAGATTATGAATATTTCTTTTACAAGAAAAGTTATAATAAGGAATATATTTGATTCTCCAGTTTTTGCAATTTCACTTAACATAGTTATTTAATTTTTTAATTACAATCGATTTTTGTGTGTGTAGAATTCCATCATTGATTACTAAAAAAATATGGCAGAATTCCATCATTAATTACTCAAAAAATATTGATAATGATTCACCATAGATCTAAGATCATTAGTGCGTTAATTATAAGAATTAAAATAAATCGGTTAAAAGTCTCCGAGACTTCAAAATAAAGAGACATATCTAAAATGATATAAGTTTCCTGCACAACTGACAGATTCGCTTTTGAAACAATGGTAGCAGTGAAATGGATGAAGCTGGATCGATGAACATAGTAATGGTGGTACATTTTTAACATCAATCTATACGCGAGGAAAAATAAAATTCTTTTACTAAGTTTTTTTTTATGAAAAGCTATAGATTTTTTTTTAAGCTATGTATTTTTATACGCGTTTGGTTAATTTTTAAAAAACCTATTTAGTTCATCTTCCTTATGCCAAAAACTTCGTACTGTTAGTTTGTCTTAAAACAAAGATTACACGGTAGAAAACCATGTGGACTCATACGGTTGTTTTTTATAAAAGTAAATTTCTCTTATTAAAGAGGATCACTAATTAAATTTGTTATATAAAGGGACATGACATGTCACATGTTATAATTTATCATTTGAAGTTTGAACAACCAAAGCATAAGTAGCGTGAACGTGATTTTGATTGGAAGAAGTGATAGATAGTTATGTGAGCCAGCAACAGCTATGTAATGGTACTTCCCTTTTGTGACTTGTCTCCTTTTCTCACGTAATGGATTATCAAACCGTTTTACGTCAAATCTCCTTAACCGATTTCTAAGATGCTTGAATGGTTTATGAATTTAGACATCAACCATATAAGATCGAAAAAGATGAAAAGAAACCACAACAAAAGATCAAGAAATTAAGATGGACACTAGCATATATGTGTTTACTTTTGTAAGATGTTTGTTCCCTATCATGCGCATGGTTCATTAAAGATATTTTGAGTTTTTACCAAAAAAAAAAAAAGAAGATATTTTGAGTATTTTGCAAATTAAATGACCATAATAATCCAGTTATAAAATGAAGTTCGTGAACCCAAATCAAAATTATTATTATAGATATCCTATTATGAGAAAAATTATATAGATTTATATTGTTTGGTTTTAACAATATGTCAATACTAAACACTATATATATCTTATAATTTTGCATTAGGATAATTCAATAAAATATTTTATTATCATCGTCTACCAAATATAATATCGTAATTAACTCTGTATAAAGGACAATATTCAAACGACACTATTCACCAGGAAATGACCATATAATCCCTATTCCTTGCGTCCTTCTATATCCATTCTCTCTCTTCGCATAGGGTCCACTAAATAATAAAAAGTGTCAGTGGAAGATTATGTCGCTTGAGCACGCAACCGTTTGCTCTAAACAATAAAAATAAAAAGGAAATAAGAACAACAAAAAAGTACGAAAGGAAGAACAGTGTCTGCAAAAACGACACTATCTTAGGGCATATCGCCTCTAACTAATTCATCGCTGCAAACCAGAAGCGATATATTTGTCTTCATCTTTCTCTTTTCTGCAAATCTACGAATTTATCTTTCTCTTCATCTTTCTCTTTTCAGAGTCTCTTGTAGTTATCGGCGAATTGGTATGTATTGTTATCATCTCCTATGTAAATATTTTCTTTAATTAGGGATGAAAGTTGACCAATTTGGGGTCTACATGCAGGTTTAATGGCGGATCTGGAACTTCTGCAAAGGATTCTGGCCGCTGACTACGTCCCTACCGGCAAGAGGGTGAATATCTACCAGAAGCTCTCGGTTCTTTCCGAGATTGAAAATGCCCTTGACGATGAAGAACGCAAGTTCATATACAACAGTCAGTTTGGGAAACTTTTTGAGATATCTCAAAAGCCGGCCTGGTCCGGTGCTTTTGCGCTATTCACACTGACGAGGATGCTTGAAGTTGAAAAGGACAACGAGATTTGGGTGTTATTTGCTGGTAAACCAATTCGGTTTAGTCTCAGAGAATTCAAAATTGTGACTGGTCTATGTTGTGGGAAATATCCACCAAGTGGGAAGAAGAGAAGAAGGTCAAACGGCGAGCATTTCTACGAACAGTTATTTGGTGGTGCTAGAGATGTTTCCGCGGAGAAGGTGCTCCAGATGCTGCAAAGTTGGTCGGTTAATGACAGGGAAACAAGGCTGCGTTATGCATGTCTTTTAATTGTTGATGCAATTCTGTTGCCCTCCTTCCATTTTCCGCGTGTGAAGATTGATGTTGACCATGCTGAGATGGTGGAAGATATAAATGCTTTCGTTGCTTATCCATGGGGCAGAGTTTCATACGAAATAATAATGGAATCGCTGTTAACTAGAGATTTTGCTCAGTTCGCGACCGCTAACGTTGTTGTACAAGGTTTCGTCCCGGCTATTCAGATGGTCGTTTTAGAAGCCGCCCCAGCTATTTTAGAAGATAGCGACGTAAGTGAAGATGAAGATTTTGTCAGCCGACGCGGCGGGCAGAAGCTTCAGTTGTCGATGACCAAGATTCGCTCACTCGATGAAAAAGATGAGGTAACCTTTGCTGCTAACATAATTGTCTGATAATCATGTCTGAGATTATTACCTTAAGAGATGAGCTTTTCTGATTGGGAAATCTCCGTTGAATAAGTCGTTTTGATTTGTACTCGATAACTAGATTAGCGGAATAAAGTAGTAGTAACTACAGATGTGTCAACTTTGTTAGCGATAATTGGTTAGCAGTCGGAATTTAAATGTAGATGTTAACGATGTTGACGGACAAATAATTGTTTTAAATTTGCATGATTGCTTCCCGTCAGTTCGTAACAATTTCGTAGAATGTTAACTAGGTTAGCATTATAACGCATTTGTTAACTTTGTCCGTCAACATCGTTAACACTATTTACAAATACCCCTATGATTAGATAACACTGTTACAATGTTTAACTCTTAAATCGTTTGTCGATACTAAAGACACCGCAGACGTTAACAATGTTTGCACTCCAATGAATGTGATAACATTATTACCAGTTATTGCAGTGTGTTGTAGTTATAGTTAATCGTTAACGTCGTTAACCTTTTTCTATGCAGGTCGAAGTAGAGATGATCATACGCCCTGAATTAGAGTTTAATCAAGACGACGAAGATCTATCTTGGTCGGAAGATGACGAAGATCCTAAGGTGGATCACATGATTAAGTCGTACAATCAGGGTATGGAGTTCTCTCAGGAGATTTTTGGACCTGGTCTGACGGCCGAAGAACTGGCTACTCGGTCTAAGAAAAAACGAGTAATTCGGAAAGCTAAGGGAGCTGCATCAAAGAAAGGGAAAGGAAAGCTTAGGAAACCATCAGTTAGTCGTTCTGCTGGGGAAAGTTCTGCAAGTGTTGGCATTGATCTCAACGCAATTGGTAGTTTGTTTGACACGAAGATAGGAGAGTTAGCATCCATGGTGGAAGCTAATCTGAAGAAATTTTTGGCTGCTCAAATCAAGGAGCTCAGCACGAAGATCGAGTCTGTTGCGGCGACTCAATCTACCGTTAACAACAAGCTAATTGTCGATGGTGTTACGGAGTGGTTCAAGAAAAATGTAATCGTTGAGGAAGTCGTTGATATATCAGATGGTGCCCGTCCTAGTCCTGCTGTTAACCAATCAGGTCGGCCAGCTCAAGGTAACCAACCAGCTGAGGATAACCAACCTGTTGCAAGCCATTCAATACCGAAAACACCTGGGCCAGCTCAAGGTAAGTTTTCAATCTTATTTTGTTAACAATTAATTGGTTATTTAGTTTTACGCTAAAGATTTTGTAAATTGGCAACAGGTCATGTTGCGAATTCCTCAATCCCGAAGTCGTCTGCTCAGTCACGAGGTAAGTATCAGCAGAAGGGTTATGTAGATATGAATTTTGGATGGTGGATGTTAAATATTATATATGAAGTTGTATGTGGTAATATTACAGGAATTGGTAACGAAGAACTTTCTGTGGAAGATATTACCGCTATTTATTCGGACATAGCCGCCAAGGATGCACCATCTGAAACTGTTAACCCGACCAACGTACCAACTGCGGATAACATAGTTAACAACGAACCGATGACTGTAACCTTTGAACATGGTGAATCCACTGAACACACGGCATTCGACGGCGACCATATCAATGATGGCATATTTAGCGACAACAACGTTGGAGTTAACAATCAAGGCGTCGCTGATGTTTTAATCGACGAAAACAATCTGGTGTGTTTTCAAATCCCCAACTCTATTTGCACTTTACTTGTACTACATAGTGATAAGTGAAATGTGTTGGGAAAATTTTACTTTACAGGCAACACAAGGTGGCATGAATTCGCCTCCCAGCATACTGTCTGAAGAAACATCAGAAAAGGTAATAGATCGTTAATCTTTCTATCCAACTGTTTTTGTTATTTTGATTTAAGTAGATCAATACAATATTCGATAACTCTGTTAAACCATATTATTTTTCTGTTAGATTCCAACTGCAGCTCCAACGGTCGACAAAACGCATCAGACTGCGGTACTTGAAGATTCCCAAACGGAAGTGCCTCCGACAACCCACTCCAATGTGCATGTGGACATCTTGCCGGTTGGCAAAGATGATGTAATTCCAGTTAGCGCCACACTACCTCAGGGGGATGTGGTAGCGAGAACTGCAATTCCAGATCGAGTAAGTAAAACTAATGGAGCAAGATGCTGGTAGGGTGTTAACTTATAGATTTATAAAAAAAATTCATTCATTTTTTCCACCGTTCGACAGGGTTCGCAAGATGCTGATATCATAGATGCCGCTGATGATGGAGGACGAAGGTCTGATCTTGTTATTGATAAGGCCCTGCGGAAGGAAGACGGCAACAATGCGAGTGATTTGGAAGTACGTAGGAAAAGCAAGCGAACCAAATTCGCTTCAACAAAGTTGGATAATCGGTTTATCTGTGATAAGGATATGAAGAGGAAAGTCTGCAGACACTCACCAGTAGGTGGACTTCAGGACGGTGTAGAAGAGTACGAAGAGTCCATCAAGTCGCTGAAAAGGTATAGACTCGATAACTATTAGCCGTTAACTCTTAGAATGATGTTAACGAAGTTACATGTTTTTACAGAACTCTATCTGTTGGGGATGGGATTGTTCTGCAAGTGAAAGATGTTACAGATATTATCGGTCGAGAGAAATGCATGCTCACAAAGGTAAATTCTCCCAAATATCTTTAATAATTAACCACATAAATCAGTTAACAAAAGGTTAAAGAGTTATTGAGGTATCTAACTCAGTTATCAACACATGTGATGGATGCACTCGTTAAACTAAGTAGGCATCTCCTCAAAGTTGACGATCGCAAACCTCGAGTTGAAGTGCTCGATACGAAGTTTGTCTCTAGCCTTGTCAAACTGTATCCGAGATTTTCGAAGGCTGTTAATCGTGATGCATACCAGTTCAGCAAACCTGTTGTTGAGAAACTGGTTGGCGTTGGTGAGGGAGGCCGTCAACATCTTTTCACAGAGGTGGACATACTATACCTCCCTTTCAATCTCGACGGTAAACACTGGGTCTTTCTAGCGGTCCATCTCTGCAGTTCCAAAATTGAGGTTATCGACTGCAACGTTCAACTTAGGACAGACGTTAGCATGCACCACGAGCTGCTCCCTATTGCGGTAATGTTTCCTTATTTGTGCAGGCAGGTTGGCGGTAATGAGTCAATGGCGAAGATGCCGTTAACACAGATGACAATTGAAAGAGCAACAGGCATTCAACAGTTAACTAGCCCAAATGATTCAGGCTTATGCTCTATTTTCCTAATGCAAGCTCATGCCATTGGTGGAATCGAACAATGTAGACTGATTGACCCTTCAGATCTGGAGATCGATGCGCGGAAGTTGATTACCGTTCTTATTGAGGTTTTCAATAACTAAGTCATGCTTTAAGTAGTTCTCGAACAATTGTTATGGGTTCTTAAATTATTGGTTTAGACTATGTCATTGCTATTATGTGTTAACAATTATGTTGTGTATTTGACATCCTTTGTACCACTTCTTTTAAGTTAAGTTAAGGATTTTATGTCTTTGTGCGAAAAAGTCCTTTGATGTGAAGATGTGAAGAAGTCGTGCCGTATTTGATGTGAAGAAGTCATTTCTTGTCGTCACATCATTTTAAGTTAGGTATTTGATGTGAAGAAGTCATATACATACTGCATATTCATTTTGCTGTATTCGATATGGCTATCAAAGTTATATAAATGGATATAGTTAACATATCCACTGAACAACAAAGTTATCAAAACCTTTTTAGACTTCAACGAAGTTATCAGAATGATAATATATTGTAAATAACAGTCCGAATAGAAGATAGAAATTTTCTTACATATGGATTAAGCAAACATTGTTACATATGATGGACCTCCATTTTGCATAATATAAGCATAGTATTTTACATCAGCTAAGTACCGACCAAGTCTTTAAAAACTTACATAATACGAACAAGAGTAACAACGCAATACAAAATAATTAGGTCGTCACCATCATTTTCCAAAAGAAGTCTTCACTGCCCAAAATCCGAATCATGAAGGTCCATCGAATAACATTGTTTTACGGCCCCTGTTTTAGATTAATAAAACAATTAATTGTACGATTCATGTTAATCCGGTTAAAACAATTATAGTTTAGCTTTAAATTATCGGCAGAGGGACCTTGCAAGTAGAGCGGTTATGGCCACGTCTTTTGCAACGAGTACACTGTCTTCGATTCACACGCTAAATATCAAGTTGCATATATCACAGTTAACTAAATTACTTTAACAATGAATAATGATAAAAACATCAAAATCAGATACCTTGAACTCCCCTTGGGAAAGGATGCGTTGCTTGCGTGGTCTCCCGGGCGGTCTGCGTACAGCTGGAGGAGTAAGATTACCGTCTCCGGCATCAGTTGCAGATGGGGTTAGGAAGTCCATATCTGGTACAGGCATTATCAGTCCTGAATACGCCAGCTTTCTGTATTCGGTAGTATAGTGAACCCCCACCAGGTTATCAACTCGGATTCCTTCTTGTATTGCAGCAGCAATTGCATGTTTACATGGGATATGGAGAAGTTGGAATTCCCGACAAGTACAAGTTTCTTCCCACAGATGGACTGCATATGCAATATCCATCTCATCTCGAACCTCGTAAACGCCGTCATCTGCTAATTAACGAGTAAATAGTTAACGCCAAGTGCGGATTATCGAAGATAACAACAAAAAATATAATTTGTGTACCTATTTTCATAACAAAATATCCTGATGATTTCTGGAAACTCTCTATCAGCATCTCTTGGACCTTTGGGTTAACAATGTCTGTTTCTGTCTAAGCAGATCCCCTTCGTAAAGCAAACCAACTAACCAGAGTAGTTCTAATAGTTTCAAGGATTGAAATTGTTGGATACTCACGACACATAGTCATCACCTTGTTTAGAGTTTCCGATATGTTACTAGTCATGACGTTGTAGCACTCTCCAACAAAATGGGATCTGGTCCAATGTTCATATCTAATTCTTTCTAGGTACTTTGCGCAGTCTGCGTCAATCGATCTTATCTCAGCAAAGAATCGATCAAACTCTGAAAGGCGGTAAGCACGAGCAGCTTCGGACACCAAGAAGCTCAGATGGGCGGATTTGTAGATGCTAACAATGTTACGTTGTAGATGCACAACACAAGCGCCATGAGAAGACATCGGATAAACCTGTTAACATGGGTATTCGAAGTTGTTAACACGATTAAAAAACGCTACAAAAGTAAATAGGTATGAATGTGAGTACCTTAGCGTGTACTACATATATTTAGATGTTTCACATATTGTGATTCAAGGTATACCTTACGAATGCTAGAATATATTAACGAGTGCCTATCTGAGATGAAAACCAAGTCTGGCTCGTCTTTAACAATCGCTGTTAGCTTGCGTAGGAACCACTCCCATGAGTCGTCGTTTTTGCTGTTAACTATTGCAAATGCTAACGGAAACACTTGGAAATTACCGTCTTGTGCACTTGCAGCGAGAAGACATCCACCATAACGTCCGCTCAAATGTGTGCCGTCGATAACTACCACCTTTCGTATATACTGATAACCTTTAGCACACGCACCAAGTGAGAAGAACAGATATTTGAACCGCTCTCCCCCTGTTTGACTTTGTTCTGTTTCCAGGGCGACAACCGAATCTGGGTTAGTTGTCAGGAGTTTCTTGAAGTATGACTCTACCAGTCTATAACTCCCCATGGCTGACCCCAGAGCGTGATTCAATGTACCTGAAGTGAAACTTTCTGTTAATTGCATGTATTGCTAACTTCATTTTGCAATCTTCCTGTGATTTGAAGATTCGTCCAACATAGATGTCGTCGTCTTCATAATCGACGTCGCGCACTGCACGCGCCAGTTCATCTGCTGCAGAAATTATATTAACAACGTTAACGGTAATACACATGTAGAAGTTTACACGATAACTGATGAACGATAACACTATAATAGTTATCATTATTACTTTAACATCACACGAAGGAAATATGCTCAAGGATAACGTAATTGACATCATGCAATAAACCGTTAAAATGGTTAACTAAAACATGGTTAATTATTGCTAACTAGGTTTGACAATGTAAAACACAACGATAACAATGTTGTCAAATAGCTCGGAGAGGTAATAAATTATAATTCAAATCCAATCAAAATACCTTCGCAGAGAGGATCATCGAAGTAAGGTGGTGCATCTCTCTCGTGTAAAGCTGGCTCGACCCGTATCTCGGGAGGACCGAGGATTGGCAGGTGTAGTGTACCTTCTCCGTTGGCCCTGTTCAGCGGTGGATACGCTATGGGCACACCTGTTAGCACTGGCGTCATTTGCCTAGAGCGCCCTTGATTCTGTCCTCCTGATCCTGATCCTTTCTCTCTAACCCTATTATCTGTCTGAAACAGTAGACCAGTGGCGGATCGTCGTACATGTGCTCTGTTTCTGTATTGAGAAGTAGATCCTTTTTGGGATCGCACATTTCTAGTGTCCATCATTATACCTTTTCCCTTGTCAACAACGGATGACCTTTCGTATGTCATATGTGTTGGCTGTTGGTCTGCATTTTGGATCGATATATCGGGATCAGGAATGGGGTCGGCATACAGGCATGCAATGACATCTTCTCCTGTAAAAACGGTTCGGCAACATATTATTAATCATTTGTTGCGGTCGAACATTTTTATGTTGTTAACACCGTTACCTATTAGTGAAATTTCGAGAGCCGCTTCCTCAACAGAAACCATGTTTGCATTGTGAGATACGTTATACATCCCAGTTTCAGGGGGCAGTGATGTTGTTGAAGAATCCGAACTAACTTGCATCACCGTTGGCTGTGTTAACAAGACATCAGTTTCACCTTCGATTTCTACGTAAGCTCCAGCGAGTGTTAGCTGCAACCCCGCATCATTTGCAACCGGTTCTGGGTTATCACCACCCTTGTTAACAATACCTTCACTACTCACTTCTTCAATCGTTACGTTGTTGGTTGTAGATGCAAATGGACCAGGCCCGCCGTGGAAAAATCTCCACAAATCGTTCAAAGTACGTGGCAGGTCAGACCGTTGATTTGAACCACCAACTACCATCAAAGAGAAAACTTCGTTAACAGTCCAAAAAATATCGTTAAATAAGATAACGACAATGTACACATGTTAAATTGTACAACGCACCTTGATTTCTACTGCTCGAAGCCCCCCCTGGTCTACTTTCCTGATTAGCACCTGTGGATCTAAAACCCAAGTAACTTGCCATACTTTGTTCGTCAGGTTCATGATTTGGGGGCAAAACACTCCTTGGGCTTATTCCAGTGCTAATATCCATATCAGATGGACTGCTAACAGGGTTAACAAGGTGACGTTCCGGAATCTGTTGTACTTTCACTCGTAGGAACACTTCATCCAGATCCGCCTTAATGGCCAAGAAAAGAGCAGCACCTTCGTCGTCTACTATTTTCACCGGCTGAGTCTTCCTCCACTGCACCCCTAGCATCCAGTGGGGCCAAAGGTAGGTCAGCTCCATTTGTTGGTTAGGTTGCAACTTCAACTTCGCCCTGATTGCCATTTCCATAGTACTTAGTGTGTCTCCTTCTCTCAGCATGACTGTGTTAGTCATCCCCTCCAAATCTCGATGAAACTCACAGTTACCATCAGGTGTTATCCGCCACTCCCCTCGAACGATGTCAACAACGAGAGTCATCTTGTTCCTGCACAACAATATGGACTTTGTCATTAATGTATTGTAGAAATCGGATAACAATATACCAGTTATCGATAAACTTTACTGTTGACAAAGAAATGAAAAGCAAACTAACTATACTTATGTTGTGTTGCTAAAGGAATCGATTTCTTCGAAGAACTTTCCAAAACAAGCAGTTGCAGTTATTTCAGGTGAAGAACAACGGTCTGAGGTTATTTAATGCATTTGAGAAAAGTGTCTTGTTGGAGAGATAGCAAGCATGGAGATAAATAGGCAGTAACTCTCCTAAGTAAATTCATTTTCTATTGTTATTTCACTTACCGATGTTGTTAACGTTTGTCAACCACACATTTATTTGATTCTCCATATCTTTTGTACAGGCGGCGTGCGTAGATACACAGGTTATCTCTGCCCCCATCTGACCAGCATTTAATGCTGTTGTCGGGTTATTCTATCTTTTTGTCAGGAAATCTTTTAGGCGACGTGCGTTAGATGTAGGGATAAAAATGTCAACTTTTGCTGACCTGGCACCAGACATCTAATTTCGAAATATCTGTTGATATATTATTAATTTTTTGGTCAACTTTTAGTATTGTGTAAATTGACCCAATATTTTATTCTATAATATTTAATATGGTAGTAGAGCCATCAATTGATTTTTTTAAAAATTCAGCGCTGAGC